CATCTGACTAATCAGACGTTACACGAAAATAAATCTAAGAATTAAATAAATAATTAAATAAATTCCATATTAATCAGCTAGATGATGAAAACAAAAATTAAACAACTAAATAATTTTATGAGTAAAAATGTCATTAATCAAAAAAAAAAAAAATCATTATAAAAAAAAAAAACTAAACTTTAAAACTAATTTTATTTATTGATAAACAAAAAAAAATCATAATATGCATAAACAATCAAAGATGATTTCATAGTTTCCGTTCAATTATTCTTATTAATAATAATTATTATCACAGCAAGAAAACTATATCTATGCTACTCCTTAATTGCAATTAGAAGGAAAAAAATTTAAATCTAATACAAAGAACACAAAATTAACAGAAGAAAAACTCAATGAAACCAAATATTTCTACACACGGAGAACAATGTAAAATCTAAGGAGGGAGGAAATTCTCAAAAATCTGCAAAAATTTCAACAATTTTAAGACCGAAAACAACCTTTAATGACTTCCATCATGAAAGAGCGGCAAACAATTCAAATTTAAAATTAAATATAGCTCTTGAAGTATGAAAGACAAACACAAAGCTATATAATATTAACCATACTGGCAATAAATCTCTAATTAACGCCTTAACAATTAATACTAATCAATTAATTACATTGCAATTTGATAAACAATATTAATAATAAAATTATACCGATTATATTATTTATATTAAATAAATAATATTGTAAAATAGCATTTCATACATTAATAATGATACACATATACATGAATAAACAATATGCTTTGATTAATAATTAACAATTAAATTATTTAAAAACTGCTAAATTAACAATAATATATAAATAAATTACTAAAAATTATATAACTTTTAAATAAAATTGTTTATATTGTGTTTATACAAACAATTTTATTTATTTTATTAACTTAAAAATTAAGGTCCTGAAAACATTACGTTATAACTTTTAAACAAATAATATGCTTAAACAATTAATTAACTAAAAATTGCTTCCTTAATATTAGTAAATAGCAACTAACCATACTATTTAAGCTATAACAATGCTTTAATGCAATTATGCTGAAATTTTTATTAGAATTTTAATGAACTTAGATTTTGAAACATAAATTAATAATTAAAAGTGAAAGAAGCTATCAATTTTAACAAATAAATTAAATATCTTAAATAAATCTATAAGCTCGTGGGTTTCATTTGTATCGACATCACAGCTGTCCTAATACAGAAACCTGCCTAATCTGAAAAATATTTTCGAAATTAATTAATAATTTCAAAAATTATTGAAGAACAAAAAAAAACAGAACCTTTAAAAAAAAAAAACTTTAATATTTTACTGCCGAATGATAAATTCACTTTCTATAATGAAAATATAATAAATAAATAATGTTTATATATTTTTATATCTGCTGACTTAATAGAATTTTCAATAGAATTCAATCATTATAAAGGATTTTAAGTATTTTGTACGCAAACATTTAATTATTTTTATGAATAATGAAATTATTTTTAGTAATTCAATTATTTTCCAATTGATATAATTAAAACTCATCGCAGAATTTCAAGTACTTTTAAATACGATTTTAATACAATTTCTTCGAAAAATATAATTATTCTTAAAAATTCTTATTTGCTTTCGTGCAAAGAATTTAATTATAAAAAAAAAATTTTGTTAATAAAATTCTTAATGAAAATTCAGTTTTAAGAAACATGTAATTATTCAATAAATTATTTATTTTTATATTTAAATAATTGAATTTTCATAAAATTTAAAAATTGAAATATTTATAAATCGGAATATTCGTACTTTTAGCAAACAATTGTGTGAAATTGTTGTTTTAAAAGTTTAATAGATTTCTTTTGAAATATTTGAAGTTTCTATTTTTTGAAGAATTTTCGAATAATTATAATATAAAATATTAATGTTTTATAATAATATTCTTTTACGTTATTGAATTTTAAAATGTTTTAATGTGAAATGTTTGAAAGTTTTAATTCCTATGAAAAAAATAATAATAGATGTTTTTGATTAATTTCACAATTACCGAAATTTCTAAATATATGTAATAGATTTAATGTGGTAAATAATAAGTGTAGTTTTAAAAAAACTGTCAAAAAAATTACAAATCAGCGAAAACGCAGCAACCCTGCAAAAGTTATGTATGTTTTATCGTTTTTACCTCATACTTTCAACACAATAGAAATATTTAGAAACTAAATCACAAAAGTTAACAATTTTAAATGAAATAAATAAAAAGAATTTAGAGAAATAAAGTTAATTATTGAATAAATTCTACGAATCAAATAAGCAAAATTTAATAAATTGTTAAAATGTAAAAAAAGAATTAAGGAGAAAAACTCTTATATTTGAATTTGCAAAAGTGGTTGACAGAATGAAATAAATTAACTCCATAAATTGAGAATGTAACATTTATAAAAAAAAAAAATTTTTATTTATTTAAAAACACACACATTCACACTACAATTTTATGTAAATCACGTTCCACATGCACACAATTTAACTTTAAATGGATCCACCATGGGAGGATTTTCTTCTAAAATAATTTCCACATCTTTCGGTTTCACGTACCAGGAAGTGTTCAACTCTCTCTGGAATGAAGTACATGGTGTAGGATCCATCCTGAGAGGATTTTCCTCCAAAATGACCTCTGCATCGGTTGGTTTCACGTACCAGGAAGGATTCAACTCTCCCTGGAATGAGATATCAGGAAGGACCTGCTTCATCCTGGAAGGAAATGTTAAATTTGGGCTGAATCAATGGCGATTTTTCCAGCAAGGACCTAATGTCCTTTAGATACACCTTTGGCTTGGAATTTCGGATCGCAAACTGTCGACTTCACGGACAAATCCAACGGTTGATCATTGACCGAAGTTTCTGAAGAACCAGGTTGTGCTAAATAGACCTTAAACCCATGGAATTCTCCTCTCCATGGACGGCCAGGACGCTCCATGGCCTCATAACAGTCGATCTCCTGCATCGAATAATGTATTGATGCTGCCAACGAATGCCAAAGTTTAGAGTGATTGGAGGAATTTCATTAATTCCATTCTACAATTTCCTTCACCAGACACAAAAAACCGAAATAGAGGAAATTATTAAAATTAACAACTTATAAACACATGTCAAAGAAAAATAAGTAACACTGCTAAGAAGTCACACTGCTTACTTTTTAATTGCGCGTATGTACGTTCTATCTCAAGAAGCCAAATACTGAAGACGTCCCAAGTACTATCATCCTTTATAGGGATGCAAAATGCTGAGGTTGACAATTTTAATCACCACTACGAGAAACAAAGAGTCAACGACCACCCTGAGAAAAACGAAATCCATACCTACCTTAAGAAGATGATAAAGAATCACAAACAACACATATCATTACACAACAAACACGTAAAATTATCACTTCACATTCTTATCTAGGCGCCGCCGAATGTAATAAGAGAGGAAGGATATTGATGTCACTGCAAACACTGTATGAAAATTATAATTTAGGTGATAAAAGACAGTCTCAATTTCAGAATTTTATAGTCGCGACATGGGTATTTAAACGATAAGAATAGAATTTCATCGAGACGATGAAAAAAGTAAGGAGGGAGGACTGTTACATCCCAGGTACATTTTTAAGAAACTGTTTATGTAACTGCGATGTAACTATTTTTATAACATATAATAAACACGATAAAAGCATTTAATATTCCGAAATTGAGATAGAAGTTATAACTGAAATTCTATACTTCGTCCTACATATTAGAATAATGATTAAAAAACAAAACCAGAGATAGAAATTGACAAAAATAAGAAACAATGCGTTGAGTCAAGGAGTGACTCACGCAAGCTCGCACTCAGCCGCTATGACCTCATTACGCAACCCGAGTTCTGTGAATCACTTCTTGTAACTCTAGCTTCACTTTTTCCATAATTGAGGTAGATATTTAGATCATTTGTCGAAATCGCATTCTTTCTTCTTTTCTCAATTATAAATAGAATTATAATGAATAAGTATTATTCTAAAGAATTGACACCTTTTACCCCCATAATTGTCTACAAACTCTCCCACTTTTTAATAATTTTATAGTATATAAGGCAAAGCTTTTTAACACAAATTGTCAAAAGTTCCAGTGCGGTTTTATAGACCTGTAACCATTGTAGAGCGACCCTTCAGTTATACTAAAAATTATTGTATTCTTTCTTTAATCGGCAATTCAGTGTGCGTTGTACTCGGTTATCGTGCAAGTTACATTTGTTTTTCACTTAGAAACAAGTTTCTTTCCATTAAAGGTGCAAGAAAAGCAAGTTAACACTTAGAATCAATAATTTAAATGTATTTACTGTCGTATTTTGCATATGAAGTTTCATTAATTATAGTTAACTACCAATTCTTTCTTTAATCGGCAATTCAGTGTGCGTTGTACTCGATTATCGTGCAAGTTGCTTTTCTTACACTTAGAAACGAGTTTTCTTTCCATAATTAGGTGCAAGTAACGATTAGTAACACTTAGAAACGGTATTAATTCTTTGAAACAATTGCAAAAACACTAAAGTTGTGAAAGTTACATAAGTGTAACAGAACAAACTTTCTCAGTTTCATTCAATTGAAACAACGTTCTGAAAACCAAACTAATATCGACCAGCGCTTCAATTTAAATCTACGAATAAACCTGTAATTAAAAGTAAGTAACAATTGTATAATTTTGTAAACATTACTTGAATATTTAATAAACATTGTTAAAAGGGAATATTTATTGTTGTTGTAACTCAAAACCCGTAGTTTTGACAAGTACAAACGATCCTACTTAAAAATAAAGGTCAAGCTTTACCAACTTGACCATAATCAGCCTACCATTCCTCCAAAATTATTTAACCTAACCTATCAAACTCGCCTTCTGCTCGGGATGTAACAAATAACTAAAAAAAGACTAAATAAGTCACTTATATATGAATATAATTAATATTTAACATACCCTCAGTCCTCCGGTCATCTGTAGTGAATAGAAGTAACAATATACAGAAGTTAAGCATTAATTATAAAAAATATAAAATGTTGGTTTTAAAAAAATGTTTGATTGCAAATAATTTTTAAAAGTTACTACTATTATCTGTAACGAGGAATGAATCTTTAGCAATATAAATGTCACATGCCACGTGTGTGACCTCTAAGTAACCTTAGACCAGACCTGTTACCAAGCAAACTTGACAAACACCCATCGATGAGCAATCTTTTTACAACCCTATTACGTCGATACACGGATGTGATCTGGGTATATAAGGCCCTAAATTTGGATCCAGAAGTCAGTATCTAGTCAGCATCCAGTCAGTATCTAATTTAAATCAAACCGATCGACATCATCTCTGTACCAGTAGTCAGTGCGAATCTATACTCGTTACCTACGATTATCCCAGTCTAAGTAATACCCATCTCGTGTGTGACCGAGCCATTGTCAAACCTCCAAGCAGTAAAAATTGGAAAGGCGGTGCATCTGAACTGACTGTGGACGCACGAGCGGAGAACGGGTTTTCAGCTTCACAAAGAAGCAATAAAGGTAATTAACTAAATCTTTTCATCATATTCTTTCGATACAATTTCTATATCTAATAAACGCTTATTTGTTAAAGGTGTTTATTGGAACTGGTCTTCTCTCGGCAACATACAAATAAAGAACTTCAAGAAATCATTATATACTATTTTATAATAAATTTCATTTTAACTAATTCTTAACTTTTATTCATTGATTCTTTTTCCTCATTCCCAAATAAGATTTCTTCGGAATTTCTTATTTAAAACGAGGATAACAAATGTTAAGAGGTAAGTTACTTTTCACGTAACATACCCTCTTTTCTTGGTGCATCGGCCGGGAAAGCCATAAAGAATCAATGATATTATTTTTTCTAATTCTTATTTTTTCCAAAAATTTATTTTGAGATATAAAAAATATACATGTTTTTAACAATTCTAAAACTTTCTATTAAAATTTGAAACATTTAAAATCAATTTTTAACTCTTATTTTTAACAATTCTAAAATTTAATAAAAAATTGAAACACAAACCGAGAGAGAATCAATTCCAATGATTAAATCATTTCTTTTAAAAATTAATGTCTACTTCTAAGGAAAATATTACACAAGATAAACATACAACTCGATCAAAAATCAAAGAAAACCCTACTTTAAAACTTAACCCAGGAATTCCCTATTTTAAACCTTTAGCTACTGGTACACCTAGATACTCTAACGAAAATCCAAACCCTTTTTGCAAATCCGAATTAGATTCAGGAATTTGTCATTCATTATTTGATAACAATTCTTTTAATACTGACGACGAAAGTAATAATACAATTTTAGAAAATAACGGTTCTTTAAATTCTACATTACGAAATAATTTTAAACAAAGACTCGAAAATTCAATAATTAGCACACACGATAGTGACGACGAAAACAGTCACGACGAGAACAGTGATAGTGAAAATTTAACAGAAAATAACGAAATGGCTCTACCAACAAATCAACAAGTATCTTTACGTGACGCTTTAGAAATAGTTCCTTTGTTTGACGGGACTAACATTCCAATTTCACATTTTATTGAAGGGTGTTTAGAATCAGAACAAATGCTTCCAGAAGGAGTAGCTCGAAATAATTTAGCAAAATTAATAAGGGCAAAATTAAGTGGGGATGCGCGAAAATGTGTTTACGGAACTCAAATAGCAAATGTAGGCGAATTAATAAATAAATTGAAACGCGTATATTTGCCAGCTAAAACAGTGTACCAATTACAGGGAGAATTAGGAAATATATATATGTGGGAAAAGGAAAATATTACATCTTATGCTGCGCGAATAAAAGAAATTGCTGATAAAATTGAAGATGTTCACAGGTTAGGTAATAACAATGCAGTTGACGATGTTTTTAAAGAAAATCTAGAAAAAGACGTGAAGCATTGCTTTGTGCGCGGATTAAGACCCGAAATAGAAATTCGTATGAAAGAAAAACCCACATTCCGAGAGATAGTAAACGACGCGATTGATATAGAAAGGAATTTAAGTGCTAGTTCAGATCTTCGAAAAAGCAAAATTAATGAGGATCATAAAGCTATAAAAATACACTCCTTACAAGATTCTGATTTACCTTGCTCAATTTGTAAGAGACGAAATCATAAAACAGAAAACTGTTTCTTTTCAAAACAACAAAATAAAACATACAGTCCACCAAGACAAACACAAGGATTTTCAAAACCCAATTTTAATAATCAAAATTTCTCAAAAAATAGAAATCCCTTTAACAATGGTAACAATTTTTACAGAAATAAAAATAATAACTCTAACAATTTTATGAATAAACTTTCTAGAAACTTTCAAACTTCACGATACAATAACAATAACGATTATAATAATAATAATTATAATAATAAAAACTATAATAATAATAATAATCAGAGATTTTTCAAAAAAGATATAACTTGCAATTATTGTAAAAAATCAGGTCATTATATTAATGAATGTAAAATTAGACCTCCTAGAAGAGAAGAATCATACAACAAACAACAATATTCTAAACAACAATCACAATCTCAATCACACCATATTCAAAAATCACAAGAACTACAACCTCATTTTTCGGGAAACTTGAATTCAACCCCCAGCAAGGGTGGACTGAGGGTAGAATAAATTTAAAAACACCCGTTTCAAAAGAACAAATTACTTTAAACAATTCGCAAACAAATACAATTCCCTCAATTATTATCTCTGCCGACGGTTTAAAATTTCCAGCTCGAATGATGATAGATACTGGAGCTGGAAGAAATTTATTAAAATTAAAAGCAATTGATCCAAGAATTCCAATTGACACAGAAAATATTTTAAAATTAATCGGAATAAATGATTTACCTCTTTACACTTTAGGGCAAATAAAATTAAATATTTTTGGTCATCAAACAATATTTAATATTATCCCAGATGCAGTCCCAGTAGACGAAGACGGTGTTTTAGGGACAGAATTTTTTCGAGACAATAACGTAAACATTAATTACACTTCAAAATGTTTAGAGATAGATAATAATCTTTATCCTTTTGTTTCTACAAAAATTTTAACAATACCAGCACGAACGATAATAACAACTACAGTTTTTCTTGACGAAACTAATAAAAATGAAGGTTACATACCAAGATTAAATTTAGGTTCAGGAATTTATGCCGGAGACGCAGTAGTAAAAAATTACGACAATAAAACATTTTTAAAATTTGCAAACACTAATGAAACTTCAGTAACTATTTCAATTCCTACAATTAAATTAGAAGATTTTGAAGAAATTAACCCTTATACATCTATCACACAAACTCAAAAATTTGATAACAATGACGTGACTAATAACTTGCTGAATAATTTTTTAATATCAGAAAATTTTTGTACTTTTAATAAAATGACAATTGAAGACAGAATAGAAGAAATAAAACGACTTCTTCGTTTAGACCATTTAAACCAAGACGAATACGATCATGTAGAAAATCTTATAAAAAATAACGCTGACAGATTTCAAATGCCTGGAGAACCTTTAGAAGCAACTAATATTTTAAGACATTCAATACCAACTACAGATGACTGCCCAATATTTTCAAGACAATACCGTTTTTCTCAAATTCACAAAGACGAAATAACTAAACAAGTAAATGAACTTTTAAAAAATAAAATAATTAAACCTTCTCAATCACCTTATAACACACCGGTATGGATCGTACCTAAAAAACCTGACTCAAGCGGAAATTTAAAATGGCGAATGGTATTAGATTTTCGAAAACTAAACGAAAAAACTATAGGTGACTCATATCCATTACCTCATATAAATGATATACTTGACTCAATTTCTTCCGCAAAATACTTTTCTGTTTTCGACCTAGCAACCGGATTTCATCATATAAGAATGAATCCCAATGACTCACACAAGACAGCTTTTTCAACACCTCATGGTCATTATGAATTTGATAGAATGCCATTTGGTTTAAAAACAGCACCCGCGACATTCCAAAGACTTATGGACTTAACATTAACTGGACTAATTGGAACAGAACTTTTTGTTTACCTTGATGACATTGTTATTTACGGAGACACACTCGAAGAACATGAAAGAAAATTTAATAATTTAGCTGAACGACTTAGAAACGCAAATCTTCATTTACAACCAGACAAATGCGAATTCTTACGACCGGAAGTAGGATATTTAGGACACATTATTGATAAAAATGGTGTTCGACCCGATCCAAGGAAAATTATTGCGGTTAAAAATTTTCCTATACCGAAAACAACAAAGAACATTAAACAATTTTTAGGATTAGCAGGATATTATAGAAGATTTATTGAAAATTTTTCTAAAATTGCACATCCACTAAACCAACTTTTAAAAAAGGATACACCTTTTATTTGGTCAGACAAACAACAATTAGCTTTTGACACATTAAAACAACATTTATGCGAAGAACCTCTTTTACAAAGACCAGATTTTTCCCAACCCTTCGTGCTTACAACAGACGCATCAGGTTACGCGATTGGAGGAATACTTTCACAAGGGAAAATAGGAAAAGACAAGCCTATTGCATATGCATCTCGAAGCTTAAGCGATACGGAAAAGAAATATGACACATACGAGAAGGAAGCATTAGCTATTATTTTTTGCGTATCTCATTTTCGACCATATTTATACAGTAGAAAATTTACTTTAGTAACTGATCATAAACCATTAGTATGGTTCCAAAATTCGAAGGATCCTTGTTCACGTGTTTCGCGTTGGAGATTAAAATTAGCAGAATATAACTATGAAGTAGTGTACAAGGCAGGTAAAATGAACGTCAATGCAGACGCTCTTTCAAGAAATCCAATTCCTAACGAAGAAGAATTATTTAGGAATCAAAAGGTGCTCGACGATGATACATTTTTAACATTCGTGGATAATAAAAAATCAAGTGAAAATATTCGCGATAGTGATAATAATACGTCT